ATATGTTTTGCTTCTAATGAGATATTCTTCCTGATTTTATCTCCATGTGTTGCCAAGACCCGGGGCAGGAATATAATCATAAATTGTAACAATTTTCTAATGGGGAAAATATTAATACAGTCCACTTTATGACAGTTTTTAAAGGTGTAGTTGCAAGAAATACATATGGATAAAATGTTTGAGGAAAGAGCTTGTATTTTTTAATCTTTTCATTGTTCTATCAAGAACATTGTTGGCCCTGGCTGGCTAGTAACTCATTTGGTTAGAGTGTTGTCCTGATATGCCAAGGTTTGATCTCTGGTCAGGACACATAAAAGAAGCAACCATTGAATGCATGAATAAGTGCAATAACAAATCAATATTCCTCTCTCTCTTCTTAAAATCAATAATAAAACAAAGAACATTCTGGAATCTAATTTTAATAACTTTATCAAAAGTTAAATCTTGGAATTCTAGGCACTTAGAATAAGAATTGGTCTTAGCTGTCATTTGATTATGCCCTTACATGCAACACATGCATCTGAGATTAAAGTCTGGTACTGCCTTCAGGTTAGTCTAGTGTCGTTAAGCACCTTTGATCTATGTGTGTATAAGGCAGTGTACCAAGTTTGCTAATAGTTCAGATAAATAAGATACTAAGACAGAAAGAAGTCCTATGTTATAAATAGGAGTTAAGTAAATTATAGTAACTAAATGGAATAGGAGACCAATAGGGTGAGGGGTACCTTGCTTTAGAATGGAAGGAAGTCTCACAGAAGTAGAATTTGGCCTTTGAATAAGAGACTGGGAGAGAGCTTTCAGGCCAGAAGATAGGAGTTCGCAAAGGCATGGAGTTTAAAACAATATAGATTATGTGTATGGTGTTTTGTTTACTTTTAGAGAGGATTGCTGGGGGCAGGGGGAGTAGTACAGATGGATTTGTGTTTTGTTTTCATAGGTAGGAAGACAAAATTAGGCCAGGAGGAAGTGAGAAGGTAGGGCTTGAAGTCTTAACTGAGTGTGTAGTCATGACTGACTGCCTACATAGTGGATGACTTATAGCCTGTCAGTGCTTAGATTTCCTCTTGCAGAACAAAGGAGGGCAAGTGTGAAAGCACTGTTTCCAATATGATATTAAGCAAAACATATCATAGGTTCATTAAGGTATTATTTTATCTTCTCCTTATGGTGCTGCAGCTCTCTGTCCCAGATCCGTAGGTAGCTTTACAGTTCTCTGCTATATATATAATAAATCAACTAAGAATTAAAATCTACATGAGATCTTTTTGTTTGTTTTTTTTACATGAAATCTTTTAATATTTCTACCAGACATTCTCTCTTTGGATTTAAAAATAGGATCATATGATGTTATAAAAGTTTAATGATAATAAGGCTAATTCTCTTACTGCATATACAGGGGTGGGCAAAAGTAGGTGTACAGTTCTCGTATGGAAAGAGACACACAGGTTATGATTATTGCAATAGTTTTATTAACTCTGTTTTGCATACTCACAACTATAAACCTACTTTTGCTCACCTTGTGTAGATAACCCACACAGTTGATACAGGTGTGTGATAAAAGAATAATAAACCAAAGTTAACTCTGATTGAGTAATATAGTTCCTGGATATATTTTGATTACAGAATAGAAATCTGTTTTTAGCTTTGAAAAAGTTATAGACCAATTATGATTGGTATTTCCATTTATTGCTTTTGTAGATTATTCACATTACCCCTTTAAAATCTCAATCTGTTGTCCTCATGCTAAATACTGGGGCTATTTTCTCTTCCTAGTCCTTATTCAAGAAATGCAAGATATTTTGGTTTCATTAAAAAAATGCTGAAATATGCTTATAAATCTTTAAATTTAAAGTAATATATACTCATTTAAAAATGCAGGCATCATAGAAAGTCATTAAGTAATAATTCTCCTTAAGTAGTCATGTTTTGTTTCTTTCCCTACGTGTGGCATTGTGTTTGGAATATTTTCTGCAGTTTGCTTTTTCTAAACTTAGTAAGTCTTAGACATCTTTTTATTCAACATATGTATATAAGTGTAATTCTTTTAAAAGTATCTGTGTAGTATTTCTGTTGCACAAATGCTTGGTAATTTATTTAACTTATTTTTATGGATGGGCATTTAAGTTATTTCCAGGGTTTCAGTATTATAATAGTGCTGTACAGAATATCCTTGAAACAGTATCATTGCTTACTTGTGCTAGTGTACTTGTAGGATACATTCTTAAAAGTGAAATTGCTGAGTCAAAGAGTTTTTGCGTTTAAAATTAAGATATTACTAAATTTACTTCTCAAAATGTTACACCAGTTTACATTCCCATCTATATTATTGCCCCATACTCTTGCCAATGTGTCTTCACCAATCTTTTTTTAAACTTGCAATTTGATGGGAGTAAAACACATAGCATAAATTTGTCCTCATAAATTATAAGTGAGGTAGAGAACTTTTAAAATATACTTATTGACTATATATTTCTTTCTTTAAAAGCTCTGTTCATGTCCTTTGCCCATTTTTGTTCCCTATCTGGTGGCTTTTATTTTTCTTTTCTTTTCTTTTCTTTTTTTTTAAATATATTTTATTGATTTTTTACAGAGAGGAAGGGAGAGTGATAGAGAGTTAGAAACATCGATGAGAGAGAAACATCGATCAGTTGCTTCCTGCACATCCCCTACTGGGGATGTGCCTGCAATCAAGGTACATGCCCTTGACTGGAATCGAACCCTGGACCCCTCAGTCCATAGGCCGACGCTCTATCCACTGAGCCAAACCGGTCAGGGCGTCTTTTCTTTTTTTTTAAAGAGCTCTTCTCTACTAAGGAAATTAATCCTCTGATTATTATGTACTGTGAATATTTTTTAGCTTGCTATATGTTTTTTGACTTTGCTTATGGTGTGCCTTGCCACATTTATAGTTTTTATTAATCACATATTTTATTGCTTTTAGATTTCTTGTCATGTTATACATCATCTAAGATTATGAAAAAGGAAGACAAATTTTTTACTTAGTGTTTTTCGGATTCAAATATTTGATCCATTTGAAATTCATTTTTAATAAGTGTTAGAGATCTCTAATACAGTTTTTCAAAATGGCTAGCTAAGTTGTTTCAATATTATCTATCAACTCTTCTTTTCTGTATGAATATTTGTATACTGACCCTGTTTCTAGTTCAGAATCCATTTCTTTATGGCCATGCAGACATGTGATTAGTTGAGATTTTTAGAAGGTTTTTGAGGTCAGTGGAGCAATAAAAGGTGATAGACTAGAACCATTTTATCTTCCTTTTTTCTTTTAAAGATAGATAAATATCTTTCAAGGAATAGTTCTAAATCCAGTAGTTCTTTATCTGGACATAAACATACTCTCATGTGACTCTTAGATGACTGATATCTCTGGAGGGCAAGGCGAGTCTGGGATGACCTTCTTCTAAGGCAGCAATTTTCAACGTTTTTCATACCACAGCACAAATGAAGTAATTACTAAAATTCTGCAGCACACCAAAAATGTATTTTTTGCTGATCTGACAAAAAATAGATATAATTTTTATTCATTCACCCTGGATGGTTACTGTTGTGTTGGCTGTTGTGTTTTTTTTTTGTTTGTTTTTTTAATTTGACAATTTAAGGGAAAAGAGGTCAGTACCTCTGACTAAATAGTCAGGTATTGAATGTTTTAGAAATTCTTGCAGCACACTGGTTAAAAATCGCTGTTTTAAGGCATACTTATTGAGAGTTTTTAAGAAAATGATTAGGATTTTAAAATGAATTTGAACTGCTAGGCAATAAAAACCTGTTAGTGCCTACGCACTAGCTAATTCTGTACTTGCTACAAGGAGACAAAGAATATGTTTGTTAAAATAACTGAAACGAAGAAATGGTTATTAGTCACTGCTTAGTACTCTTTAGTCATCTTTAGGAATTTAGTCACTACAGGCCTTGATTGTTTTTATTTTTAACTTTTTTATGAACACAATGCATGACTAGGGCACAGAGACCCCTAGTTTTACTTCTTTGCTCAGTTACTTACTGGCCATGTGACTTGTGGTCAAGTTGTTTAATTTCTTCGATTCTTAGTTTCTTCATTTTTTAAAAAAGATATGAAACCAACTCTTTTGCTTATCTACTGGGTTGTTATAAAGAATAAATGAGATGATGCATGATGAATAGTTCATAAATGTTGGCATTTGTAGCAGGTTTAATGAGGATGAAGATTTAGAAATTTGGGCTCCATAGTAACCCCTGAAGGAGAAGAGTTGCAGAAATAGGTTGGGAATGAATAGCTAGTGAGAAAGTGAAGATGGGAAGTGTAAACCACTTTGCTAGTGTTATCAGAGAATTGCACGGGTGGAATTTCTTTGTTGCTAGTGGGAGTAGGGTTCTTGGGACGCTGCTGGAATAGGAATTTCCAGAGGCCCCCACGGGAGGATGAGATGTGGTAGAAAGCTTTATTTGTGTGGAGTTATAGCCCTCGGTTTCTAGAGTCCCGATTTCCTTGAACCAGTCCTGGAAACGGTGCAGTGCAGCTGGGGACCCAGCAGAGCTGAAAGCAAAGCCATTCTATGATTTCTTCAAGAATTATTCAAACAAATTTTAACGAGAGCTCAAAAAATATATATGTGTATGTATATATATATACAGATATATATATATTTTTTAAATGTTGTTTGTGCATTTTATTAGTCACAGTTGCAGGATCCACTCAGAGAATCTAATTTCCCATGCTGTCAGAATTGTATCTTATTGCATTATATGATTAATATATAGTTGTAATTACTGTGTATATATATATAGTAGTTTTGTTTTTTCTACTTAGCATTTTTATGTATAAATTTCCTTCTGTTTATATTACTTGTGATTCATTTTCAAGAGCTGTCATGTTTTGTGGTAGTACTGTAGTTTACATAGTCATCCTTTCTGTTTGTTTGGTTTTCAACTTCATGATTTAAATAGTGCTGGTAAAAAAAAAAATTGTGCTGGTATCCATCAACTTAAAAGCTCCTTTTATTTCCCCCCTTAGGCCGGGTTGACATAAAAGAGTTAATTGCAAAGAAGAAACAGTTGACAGCAGAGGCAGAGGTAAGTTAACTCCCTCTTCCAGAAACAAAAATGTAGGGTGTGCCCTGGCCGGTTTTGCTCAGTGGATAGACCAGCCTGTGGGCTGAAGGGTCCTAGGTTCGATTCCTGTCAAGGGCATATGCCCAGGTTACGGGCTTGATCCCCATTAGGGGGCCTGCAGGAGGCAGCCAGTCAATGATTCTCTCTCATCATTGATGTTTCTATCTCACTTTCACTCTTCCTTCCTCTCTGGAAAAAAAAAAAAGTAGAGTGTTAGGGTAAAGAGTTTTGTTTAGTAAATTTTTAATGATAAAGTCTTTAAAGAATTATTTACCTTTCTTATCATTGACATTGTCTGTCCTTCTGTGGAGCAGGAGCATAAGGTCTGCTGCCTTGTCATCCTATATAAGAACCAGGTTGCTCTTTTCTATCCCATCCGTCACTGTCATTTTTCTGACTTTGACAAGCAAAACTTGGTTTTAGTGAAGCATGTTAAAGTTGAATTTCTATATGACTGTCTGTGTGGGTATTTTGTGAAAGTAGCAAGGTTCATAGAAATCACAGGCTTCCAGTAAATGATCCATCTGAATCCAGAAGCAGATTCCCTGTTAGGGAAGTAGGGAAAATATCAACTCAAAAACAACCACGTGGAGCCATTTCAAGCTGGGCAAGCAGTCTGTAAATCAGAATTGAGCAGTGCCCTCAGGGAATTCTGGAGGACAAAGAACAATTTTAAAAAACACCGTGTGTGCTTGAATGTAAGTTGACTTCAAGGCAGCCTCCCTTTTTTCTGAGATTACTTTAAGAATTTATTGGCCAACATGAATATCTAAATATCCAATGCTATAGATGAAATAGCCCTGTTCTTATCTATTAATTTAGTTACATGTGCATGCATGTACATATGCACTTATTTAGAATAACAAATTTAGAAATTTTTATTTTTTAGCATCATATTTATATGGGGTTCTTGGACCCAGTTCTAACATGGGGGTGTAGGTTCCCTCCACGCTAACAAGCACTTCTTGGATGCCAGCAAGGGTGTCTCAAGAATTCAACTAAATTCTGATACTGTCTACCTGGAGATAAAAGTCAAATTCTGCAGGTAAAGGACTCAGTCCCACAAGACTGCCCTCCCAGATGCTGGAAGCAAGCTCAGGTTACTTGTGCTTCTGACATCTGGCTATGGATTGGAAGTTCCAAACCTCCCCTGCAACTCAGAATGCCAGTCTCAAGTCCAGGTTGTCCCCTGTACTTCTGACCCACTGGCTGTAAATCAGAGGTTCCCTGGGTCTGATAAATTTGCTAGAAGGAGGGACAGAAGGCAGGAAAACCGGTTTACTACTAGATTACCAATTCATTACAAAAGATAAGAATCAACGGCCAGATGAAGAGATACGGGGCGAGGTCCTGAACAAAGGAATATCTGTCCTTAGGGTGCTGGGGCCTGGCAGGTGGAAGCATTCTGGTTCCCTAGCATGTAGGGCTCACACGCTGGCTTCCTGAGTTTTTATGGAGGTAGTGATGGGACTAAAAGTTCCAAACCTCTAATCACAGGGTTGGTTCTCCTGGCAACCCAGTTGTCACTCATCTTTATTGGACAATTTTCCCCTAATCTCTAAAGTGAGACTATTGGACTAGCTGTCTCTGAGGTCCCCTTTAGCAGTAACATTCTGTGTCATAATTGTATAGCTAACTTAAACTTCAGCTCCTAATTCACTTTCCTGTTGTAAACGGAATGGGTAGTCTGTAGATCTTATTGGGCAGCTCTTCCAGCGCCACAGAACTAGAGTTGTTAGATAAAATACGGTCTGCCTAATTAAATTTAAATTTCAGATAAACAACAAGTAGTTTTCTAGTCATCATTCAGTGTTCGAGACAGACTGGAAAGGTTATTTGCTGTTTATCAAATTGAACTGGGTGTTCCTATATTTGTAATTGCTAAAACTGGCAACTACAAAAAATCCTGAAAATTTATATATAGACATAGAGGAGCTCATAGTAAGGAAAGCAGTGAAGAAGATTGTCAAATACAGAGCTTTTTAGTCTGGAGGGAAGAGGAATGAAACAGGTTATGACATTAATGGGTTGACACTAATGTGTTCAACTGATTGAATCTCTGAAGACCACTTCTAGGTCTAAATACTTCTATAAAAAAATTTTAAGTATGTAATTAAAAAAAATATGGTGCTATTGGGGTTATGCAACATTGTGTAACCCTGAGCCACGACCTTGTGAAATCCTTAGAATTGTGTTGTAACAAAACTTGAAAGACCTTGGAACAGTTCAAGGGAAATTCAAATGATTTAAGTCCCAACCAACTTATGTTAATAGATGAATTAGCTTTGTTTTAACATTGTGTTATTTCCTTTTGGTTGCAAATAACAGAAAATTACTTTGGCTTAAATTTAAGCATATTTGATATTAATGTATCTTGTAGAATCCTGGAAGAAGTTGGACATCCAGGCTTTGGAAAGGGAAATGATTTTAAGGATTTTTAATTGAGATATTCCTGAATTTTTCAGTTAATGAGATTTCCAGTCATTCTCTCCAAGCACAGAGTTTCAGATTTATGAGAGAGAGAATTGGATTTTGGCGAGAAGGGCGGGACCCTATAGTACAGCTCTGGCCTGGACCCTGAATGACTATTCTCACCTTGAGCACAGGTTCCAGAGAAAAGTGAATATGTTGAGAAGGGTAAAGGAAGTGTCTTCACTATCAATATTTGTAGAACTTTTATTAATGTACACAATTTTATAGAGGAAATGTTAGTATAATATGAAAATTGAACGGATGAAAAATTACTTCCTTTTTCTACTTCTTAAAAATATATATTTGTTGCAACATATTTCATTTGCTTCTTATATAGCATTTCAAGTACTATTGTTTTTCACATCGTTACCTCATGCGATTGCCCAACCACTAAAAGAGCAAACTGTAATGAGTAAGATGCAGATGTCATGTCTGCAGATGAGGACTTCCCTTCATGGTTTGTCACTTGTTCAAGGAACCTCTTTTAAAAAGAGGTTTTTGGATAGTGCCAGTCTATTTCTCTTAGGAAAAAATTGATTTTAGCGGGTGGGGGAGAGAGAGAAACATCAATGTGAGAGAGAAATATCAATTGGTTGTCTCCTGTACATACCCTAACCAGGGATCAAACCCACAACCTTTTTTTGTGTACAGGGTGATGCTCCAATGAACTGAGCCACCCAGCCAGGGCCAGAGTATACATTTTTACTGTGTATTTCTTTCTCTCAACTTACTTAAAAAAAAAAAAAATTATGCCTCTGTGCCTTTGAAAGGGTTATTTTTATCTATCCATAAATGCCCCTGCTTTTTTTCCATTTAAAGACTTGTTCCAAAATAACCTCTGTTTGGAACCCTTTTAGGAGAGTTATCTTTCTAAAATGCAAGTCTGAACATGTGTATAACCGTATGCTTAAAACATTGGTTTCCAGTTGTCCTTAGGATACATTGAAAATTCTTAAAAAGGCTTAAGTGACCTAGTCCCTAGACCAGGGGTGGGCAAACTTTTTGACTTGAGGGCCACAATGGGTTCTTAAACTGGACCAGAGGGCCAGAACAAAAGCATGGATGGAGTGTTTGTGTGAACTAATATAAATTCAAAGTAAACATCGTTACATAAAAGGGTACGGTCTTTTTTTTTTTTTTTAGTTTTATTCATTTCAAACGGCCCGCGGGCCGTAGTTTGCCCACGGCTGCCCTAGACCCTGTTTGTCTGTGTTCATCTCTGGTCACTCGTGCGTCTGTGCCTTCACTGTGTGTTCCAACCAGAAGTTCTTTGCCTTGAAGTGGTTGTTCCCATTCTTAGAATCTTAAGTTGTGCACTTCCACTGCTTATTTAAAAAAATGAGGTTTCTTTGAGCTCTAAAATACAGTGATTCTATTTAATAAATTACCTATGCACCTGCTTTTCTAGTTTCTAGTTAGCTGCCTATCTTCCATTGTTCTTCTGTCCATCTGTTGTCATGATGAGACAGTCCATGGATTGGGTGAAATTAATATTAGTAGAGATGAGATTGGGGAGAAAAGCAAAGTAGAAAGCCTGTTACCTTCAGCTTCCTTTCCAGGTACTGATATTAGACATTACTTAGACTTATTGTGATCACATTCTGGAGTTCTAATTGAAGTCAGTTCCATGCTACTGGAAGGCTCAGAAGAAGGCAGAGTGGAGCGTTTCTTCTACTGTGTTTTTCTGTATTCCCTCTTTATTTTCACCAGCACTGTATTTGATAGATGAAAGGAGGAGGCTAATGAAATTTAATGGTGTCATGGAAGCGTTCTTCTTTGTCTCCCACTAGCAGCAGCTTCTATCAACTGTAGTTCCTCAGAGAAGGAAGGCATTGAAATGTGGTGGATTTAAATAGCTACCTTTTAATAGTAATAGCACGAAATGACAGAATTGGCTTACTTGCAGTTTTTATTGTGCATTGTTTTGTTTCTGTCTTAAGAGGCTAGCTCTAAGTGGGAAGGGGTTGGAGCTACACATACTTACAGAGTGATAACTATGTCAGGTACTGTGCTGTGCACTTTTGCATGTTTTTGTTTGTTTGTTTTTGTTTTGGGCTTTTTAAAAAGCTCACACAACAGTTTAGCAAGTTAGATGGTATTTATCTCAGTTTTGCTCAGAAAAGTGAAATAGCTTGCCTGAGGTACAAAACAAGTGGTGGAGGTAGAATCTGAACTCAGGTCTCCCTGGCTGAAAGTTCATACCTTTTTTACTACTTTATTATTAGCACTAAAGACATCTTTTGCTTTACTAGCTCAAGTATAGATTTATGTGCTACTCACATATAAATTTTACTTCAGGAGTAAAAGACATGAATTAATATTAAAATAGGAACTTTTTTAGCTCAGCATACCCAAGCAGTGTTCTGATAAGTCAGAGGTTGGAGTCAGAGTTTCTGAAAGTTACAAGGAGACCTAACACTTGTTTCCACCTTCTTCTAGCCCTCATGCTATTGAGATGCCTGTGGTTTTTATTTTTATTTCTTATTTGGTTCTCCTATCCCTCTGAACTGTTCTTGGTGGCATTCACTACACCATTAACAATTTAGTTGATATAGACAGTGAGCTGTGTAAGAGCAGGCTGTGTGTATCTTGTTCACCACCATAGGTGCTGAATAATAGAAGTCGTCCTTGTTATCCAAATCTGTTTGGTCCCTGAGTTCAGAAAGTGAGTTGGGATAACCAGGGATACCCTTATTCATCTGATGACTGTAAAAGAAGAAAAGGTGGGAGTTCTAGAGTATGAGGGGAAAGAGAGAGAATAGGAGGAAAGAGAAAAGAAAAGGGTACAATTGACAAGAAGGATGAGGATAAGGAGATTACTGTAGGTTTTCTTACTACATGACTTGAAGTTTCATGTGCTTTGAAATGTATGGTAAAGGCTTATTTGTGGGCAATTAGTAAATAAGGCACAAGACCTTGTGCCGTAAGGAGTTGACTACTCTATTCAACTTGAGTTGGGTGGAATAGGACCTGATTTTAGCAGTTTGTACTGACACGTACAGAACATTCATTATGGTGTTTTTTCTCATGCTATGGTCTACTTAACCCAATACTTAAAATGGGAAGAGACTAGTTCCAAGGTATGAGGAAGCCTGCTGAAAGAAATAACTTGCCTTTCTCAAGATTCCAGGCTCCCTTTTTACTGTTGAGTAAAATATCAATGGGCTGATTGATATGAATAAAGGGTAAAGCTGAGTAAATATCAATAGACAGATTGATGTGAGTCAGGGGTAAAGTGTTAAGACCTACACGGTTTACACCCCCTTCTACCCTCCCCCCTTCTCTCCTGACCTCACTTCTTATCACTCTTTTGCTTAAGTACTGCTTCTTGCTATTTATGGAACATGCCAAGGGTGTTCCTGCTTCAGGGCTTTTAAAATATATTTTATTGATTTTTCACAGAGAGGAAGGGAGAGAGATAGAGAGCTAGAAACATCAATGAGAGAGAAACATCAATCAGCCACCTCCTGCACATCTCCCACTGGGGATGTGCCCGCAACCCAGGTACATGCCCCTGACCGGAATCGAACCCGGGACCCCTCAGTCCGCAGGCCGACGCTCTATCCACTGAGCCAAACCGGTTTCGGCAAGGGCTTTTTATATTAAAAAACAACAACAACAAAAACAGTAGCCCTAGCCGGTTTGGCTCAGTGGATAGAGCATCAGCCTGCGGACTGAAGAGTCCCAGGTTCGATTCTGGTCAAGGGCAAATGCCCAGGCTGCAGGCTCGATCCCCAGTAGCTGGTGTGCAGGAGGCAGCTGATCAATGATTCTCTCTCATCATTGATATTTCTTTCTCTCTCTCCCTCTTCCTTCCTCTCTGAAATCAATAATATATATACACACACACACACACACACATATATATATATATATATTTTTTTTTTAAATAGATTGTTGCTTTTTAAAAAGAAAGGAAGGAAAAGGGGAGGGAGGGAGGGAAGGAGGAAGGGAAGGAGGGAGGGAGAGAGAGAGAGAGAAAACTGGGGACTGAGCTTGCAACCAGGGCATGTGCCCTGACTGGGAATCCAGCAAGCAACCTTTTAGTGCACGGGATGTCCAACCAACTGAGCCACACTGGCCAGGGCTCTGCCTAGTACTTTTCCACAGATATCCACTAACTTTTGCCCTTTAAACTTTCAGGTCTTCTCATATGTCATCTAATCTTTAGGCTTTCCCTGATTTCTCTATGAAAAATAAGAACCCCCCCCCTGCTTTATTTCTTTGCATCACACCATCTGGCATACATACTATATGTCCTGTAATTTCCATGAGCACAGGGACTAGATTTTGTTTATTGTTGTATCTCCAGAGCCCAGAACAATACCCAGTACCCAGAACTTAGTGGAATGAATGAATTCTTTCCCTTTTAGTGTATTTCTACATGGGACATTTTTGTAGTTGAAAAAAAAAATCCCCTCTATTTGTTAACGGGTCTAATTCTAGAAATTAAATGAGAAAAGAACTTTTTTTCTTCATGTCATTTTGGTGGGAGGGGGCATTGTTTCTTTTTGGTCAGGGAAACATCCTATTGAAAAATTTCAAAATGAAGATGGACATTTAATTGAAATGGAACAAGCAAAAGGAACAAATAAAGTACTTATTAGATAACCTTAATATGGAAAAATAATTTTATAAAAACTATTTTTTCTTCCAGGGAACATACTTTTATATTTTGTCCTTAAAATCAGCCTACATCATTCATATTTTCTGTTTTGGCTTATACTTTCTTATTTCTCTGCTTTTTATCACACTGTCTTCTTCTGCCACTTTTCACTTAAAATTAAGTCCTATTGCTTCATCAAGGTTCCAGCTTAAAAAGACATTTCTAATCGTCTCATCCTTGTTTCTTTGTTTGCTGGACTATTATATATTCTTTGAGTCTTCATTGATGGTTATATTGCTCTGGCCACACTCTTCTGTGTACTGTACTTCCCATCTCTATCAGCTGTCTTGTGAAAGGTGACATCTTAGTGTAGTCTCACTATTTGGGCCCCACGAGGCATTTGGGAACAGTGGGAGACAGTTTAAAAAGCCTTCATATGTAGTTCCATTGGTACACTGATATCTTTACTTTTTAAAAATATATCTATATTTTTTTTATTTCGGAGAGGAAGGGAGAGGGAGAGAGAGATAGAAACATCAATGATGAGAGAGAATCGTTGATTGGCTGCCTCCTGCACGCCCCCTACTGGGGATCGAGCTCGAAACCCGGGCATGTGTCCTGACCAGGAATCGAACCGTGACCTCCTGGTTTATAGGTTGATGCTCAGCCACTGAGCGACACTGGCCGGACATCTTTACTTTACTTTTATAAAGGACATGGTCAGAACCTGGAAAATGCTACTTCAGATATTTTAGGTTTAGTCTAAATAATTTAATTAAAGGAAAAAGTGTTTTTTAAATTGAAGAATTAGAAAATAACACTTTGTTTACTTTGATGTAGATGGGTCCTGCCAGTTTAAAAATACTGGTATTTATAATTTGAGCATTCACAGTAGGTGACCTATTATAATCTGAAGAAATATTTGTTTGTTTTATATTTTTCAAAAACTGGATGTTAAAAATAGTCTGGGACCAAAATGTGTAACAATTTTACATTACAAATGTGTTAGGGTTAGGTAAACATATAACTATGGAGTTAGGAATAAATATTGTCATATAAATGTTGGTAATGTACAGAAGTGACATGATCTAAAGTATAAATAGCAGGTACTTGGATGTAGGGGTTGCTTGAGAAGAAAGGGGACTTAAAATTTTATAATACTGATCTTTATTATTATTTTCAAGATAAAAATTTGAAGTCAAACCTCAGAAGGAAGGTAGGGGAGGGTGGAGGTAAGGGGGAGAGATCAACCAACGGACACAGACACCAGGGGGGTGAGGGCATGAGTGGGGCGGTAGGGGGGCAATGAGGGGATAAGGACATATATGTAATACCTTAATCAATGTCATTTTTATCATTTCTGTTATTTTGTTTTTATTTTTTATAGTTCATTTAGAAGATTACTTTGATATCTTGATTTATGATTAAAATGGTATAAATTGTTTTAAAGACATGAATTATGTTTGTTTGTTTTTGTAGCCATTTCTGAAACTACAGGTCAGCTATAGAAATCTTTTTCCTGCTTTTATTCCTGTGAAGTCACTTAAAATGGATTTCTTTGATCCAGCTCTGTTTAAGAGAACACTTTAGAAAAATGTTAGTATCCCATAAGCATGTGTTCTAATGTTTTCCTTTATTTGTTTTAAAATTCTAGGAATTGAAGCCATATTTTATGAAGGAAGTTGGCACTCACTTTGATGATTTTGTGACCAATCTCATTGAAAAGTCAGTCTCATTAGATAGTGGTGGGTGTGCGCTCACATCCTTTTCTGTTCTTGGAGGAGTGAACAACCATAGAGCTAAGTAAGTATGAGTATTAGATTCTTGTAATGCAGACATCTGCTCTAGTGTAGCTCAGCGGTTACAATGTGGACTGTGGTAAAAATGCCTGGATGCACCACACCTGGCACCACTTTTCGTTAGCTGTGTGTTGCTCGGGGCATATTATTTAACCACTGGAAGGGTGGGTTCTTTCATCTTAAGTGGCTTATAACAAATGTGCATAATTCATTTAAAACTATACTGACACTGACACTTGAGTGCTTTTCATTTAAACCAAACACTGACCCTATGGGTAGGTAGTATAATTATCTGCTTAGTACAGATTAGGAAACTGAAGCACAGAGCAAGCAGTTAATTGTTGTCCGGGATTCCGCAGCGGGGATTTGAACCCAGAGTCCATGCTTTTCGCCCCATCGTTACACTGCCTCTCTCTTGTATTCTCTGCGATACTTGTTATTAAGTACAGTGCATTGGTATCTATTTTTCTAATCGGTCGGTCATCCAGAGCATGGAGGGAAGGCTCTCAAAGGCCAGTGTGCGCTAATTTGTCATTCTGTGCTTTCCTTGGTTTTTCCTCTGTGGTCTCTGTCAGTCCCTCCTTTTCTGAAGGACAGGTTGAACCAGGAATAGTCAATGGAAGTACCGACGGTACTGCAGAAAGCCCTGAAGAGATGATCATGCTAGATGTTAACAGATTTTAATAACTGGGGCAGCCTTTAAGATCAGAAGGCTGTTGGGGATTGTCGGAAGTCCTTTGACATTACAGAGGACATCGTAGATAACAGTGCATCTTCGAGAACAGACCAGTAACAATAGTGAACTGGAGTAAGGATGGCTGGGGCCTGTCTGTGACCTTAGGGATGTTTAGGAGAAGGAAGAGTGGTTGTCTGTGTGGTGTCAGGAACTAGTGCTGCCCTAGTGAGGTGTGCCTAACTCCCCTTCCTCCCTAACCAGGTAGGCGTGTATTTGCCTCATAGCAGTGCTCAGAAGCAGTATATGAGACAACATGCATAAACTCCGACTCACAGGACCTGGGTCCTAGTGAGATGGCAGTTAATTAATTTTACTTGCTGTAGTTGGTAATCTTCCTCTTATTCTTAGGCTTAAATTTCTTAAAATACTTGAAGTACTTACATTTTGTTTTACTTTTTGCTCTTCCCAGAGATCTGAGAGCACCTCCAGAACATGGAAAGATTTTTGTTATAAGGCGATCTCTCTTAGAGTAAGTATTTTAAGTGCTTTTGTTAATTATAAGTTTAAATAAAAAAAATACAACTATTCTGATTGTTGGAATCACTGCTTAATCTATGGATGTTTAAAGAGTTTGTTCTATATTCATACAAATCGTTTGTTTTGATACTGCTCTTTGTACATTTGCTGTGTCTTGCTCTTTCTTTCTGATCCCCTGGCTCTGCATCTAGTTTCAAAGGAGGAGCTAGAAATCAGAATGGTTATCTGTCTTTGATAAATTCCTTCAATTTGTGCTGCAGAGAACTGGTTACCCAAAGAGCTAGGATAGCGTTTTCTATTTAGGGAAACTACTTCAAGAGAGTTTTGGTGTTGCTGCCTTTTTGGTATATAATTTTTTAATCTCTTCTTTGGCTATCCAGATTAAACACATGATAGATTTCTCAGATTTACTTATTTTAAAACCCTGATTGTGTGGATCTTATGAAAAAACACACACATCAGGCAAGGTAAATTAATTGTGGTGACATCATTTGTGAACTGAAAAGTAAAGGTGCACTTTGAGTATGTAATTAATATTTCTTTTGTAATGTTCTCGGAGATCATTCACTCATTCATTCACTCATTCATTAGAATACTTCTGTAATTTAACCTGCACTAGTATAGGTCGCCTGAAATAGTTGGGCTGGTGAACCTTAGGTATGGATGTGCTTTTCTTTTAAAAATGCATCATATGCTTATCAAAATATATTTTCTATGTGCCAAATTGATCCATATTACTTAATTTTGATTAGAAGGCCAAAGTTTTCTAAATATCTAATATAGAGTACCACTTCAGTGTTATGTTGTTTGAAGAGATTTATCTTTTAAAATCTCTATCTGGGGGAAATGCAGGCTTTCTATGTAAAAGAGAAATTAAAGCAAGTGTTTTGAACATTATAATTAAGATTTTAGTGATAGTATTCTATATATGAAAAATAAACAAAATTAAAATACACATTTTTAAATCAAGGAAACAAAATACATATTTTATGGCTCAGGTGGGTTTTATTAGAATTGAAGCTCCTTAACCCAGACATTTAATAGTATTTTAGATGCCTCAAAAAGTTAGGAGATTAGCATACATCTTTCCATAAACTAAGCTAAAACACTTGTTTTAATCAAATATAAAAAGTCCTTAGTTAGAAAAAGTCATCTAGAAAGTAATTGGTGTGTTTTAAAAGAAAAGTAACCCGAGTAGAGAGTGGACTGTAAGACTAGGATGTTTTGAAAAAGTTTTTAGCCTTTGAAATAGCTTCTGTGTTCCCTGTTTTCAGTGAATGACCTTTTGCCTACATTAGAAGACAGTCACCTCTGTAGGTTTTCAAGAATGCACACCATTTGTTCTAAATGTTTGATATCCTTGCTGTTTTCTAGGAAGCACTATTATCTTATCAGAAAGCCTTGTCCTAAGCTCTTCCAATAATTTTTACTTTGGTCATGCCACTTACTGTCTCTACTTCAGGTTTAATATTCTGTGATTACTGTTTGAGATCATTTTGGAGGGTGGATTAAGTATTTCTGGACTGCTTTAAAGTCTTTAATATATGACATTTTAAAATCGGATATAGTTTATTCATTTTATTTGTTTGAACTACATTTACAGTGAGCTGTTCGAGGTGGACCACATCAGAACAATATATCACATGTTTATTGCCCTCCTCATCCTCTTTATCCTCAGCACACTTGTGGTAGATTACATTGATGAAGGAAGGTAAGACAAGAAAAAGGATGGTTGGCTAATTGGCGCATAGGATGTTGGGAGTTTTCATTGTATGTAAATTTTGGTAGAGGGTGATTTGGTTAAATTTGCTTCAGAAAATTCCAAAGTAGCTGATTCGAGGTTGAGATTTCTGTCTCTTAAAAAGTACAATACAACTAAGAAGAAGATTAGAAATTTCATTACTTTTATTTTTCTAAATGGTCTATTTAAATAGACTATAATTGGTAGTTTCTAGGTAATTTTCCTAAATGGGAGAATTTTGTATATATGATTTATCAGTTTTTCTGTTATGGTATGCATTTCAGGTCAGTACTAAAAATAAGTAGCTTATTGGAATTTCACATTTGAAAAATGTATTTTTAATATGAAAATCAAATTGTAACATTAAAATGACAGTGCAGTAATCATACATTGAATTATATGCTTTATTAGAAAATTAAATTTTGAGATGATATATTAATAGATTTTTTGTTTATTTTTTATTTTTTAAAATTCTTTATTGTTTAAAGTATTACATATAGTATCACATATGTCTCCTTTTCCCCCCAGTGACTTCTTCCCCGGCCTCTCCCACCCTCCCTAGATTGTTTTATTTATATTTATCTCCTTCTGAAAAATCATCTTTTGTACATAACAGTGATTGCTATTTGAATTCTTTAAATATGGACTTTGCCATAGAATATTTTAGAGTTTAAAATGTATTAATTAAGAATCTAACTTTTGAGAAGTTCAAAGTCTTATTATTTTAAGTTATATTAGGTATTTTATGTTTAAAGACTGTATCATCTTAGGGCTTTTAGAAACTTTGTTATTGAAATATATTGTGAAGCAGTCTTAGAAGCAGTTCTATAGCACAACTTCAATGACTTCAATGTGTTAATGTTGCTGTGTTTCCTAAAGCTGAGAGTTTGGGGCCTGAAAGTTTTGAATTCTGTGAATCAATGCATATTTTTAAAAATGTGCTTTTGTGTCTTTTCTCTGTGCCTTTTCTCCCCAGGCTGGTGCTTGAGTTCAATCTCATATATTATGCTTTTGGCCAGCTTCCTGTTGTTATATGTACATGGTGTGCCATGTTCTTGAGTACACTTTCAGTTCCCTACTTCCTCTTTCAACATTGGGCCAGAGGCTACAGCAAGAGTTCTCATCCAGTGATCCATTCTTTCTTCCATGGCTTGCTTCTCATGGTCTTCCAGATTGGAATTCTAGGTTGTGGACCAACATATGCTGTATTAGCATATACACTGCCACCAGCTTCCCGGTGCATTGTCATCTTTGAACAGGTAAGGTTTTGAGTGTTGCTCAGTGCAGTGCTGCGCTCAGTTAAAATAATGATTGGAACAACAATAATAATAATATTATTATAACAATATAATACTAATATTTGTTATTTTTGGATAAATTTTTATAACTGGTTCTTTATGCTCTCGTCTAAAATTAAAGTGTTAAACTAGATCATCTCATCTCATAAAACTTATTTTAACTTCAGTGTTCTCTGGTACTTAATAATTGAAATAAATCATATTGAACTGTTCTGGATCAATGCAGATTTTGTTCTTGAATACTTTTTGTAGTAGTTATCTATACCATAAAATGTTTTTGTAATTAAAATCCCCACTTTTGAAATGTCAGATTCATTATTTTGTCATATAGCTCTTTCCATCTAAAGAACGGATTTATTTTGTCCATAAAACCTTCCGATTTTCTTATATTGGGTGTCCATGATGCTCTGTTTGACTAATGGAAAGGACCATGTCAGGAGCCTTTCTTTGATAGACTTTTGTAATACGGTGCTTTTAGTTGCAAAAGAATATGTCTTTCTGTAGAGGTTGTTTTTAATTTGCTTTATTCCATAAAAGTGAATTTGAGTTGGTATATGCAAAATAAAAACATTCTATTTGTGAAAAAATTTATCTTTTCCTCCCTCCTTTTTTAGATTCGTATGATAATGAAGGTCCATTCATTTGTCAGAGAGAATGTGCCTCGGGTATTGACTTCAGCTAAGGAGAAATCAAGTATGTAATTCTATTACATCAAAGGACTATTCAGAGGGTATTTCATCCTTTGGTGTTTAGGGGGATGGCACATTACATTCTGCAGCCATTATGTTTGATTTTCATTATGTAGCCTCCACATTGATTTGGAAGACTATCTCACTATTTCCTGATTGTTTCTGTTTTGTCTTGGTACCTGCAATTTAAAACCATTGATCATTAGATTCTTGTAACTTTATGTAATTTTTATAGAATGTTAAACTCATCACACCCATGTGTGCTTATTACTCTTTGAGTTGCTGCTTAAAACTCTAGAAGTCATCTCAGTCACAGGAATAACTTAGTGTAGAGGGATTGGTCTGTTGATATTAGAATAAGAAGTCATCATTTTGGGAGATCAGGAAGAAACAACATAAGCTAAGGAGAAGTCATTTTATTCTTCTCTATCCTATGTTTCCTTACTTTACCTTTGTAGTTCTGCTGAGAGCTCCTGACCTAGCCAAGTTTTCCTTTTTCAGGAACTGTCCCAGTACCCACAGTCAACCAGTACTTGTATTTCTTGTTCGCGCCAACCCTCATCTACCGGGACAACTACCCCAGGTAATGGCACTATGAAGTACAAGTGTGCTGAGCACCTGAAGTGTGGCAGGAGTGAGGTACAACAGGCGGGCAAGGGTCAGCTCCCATAGGGCTACAGAGAATGTAGAATGAGTTTTCATTTTCTCTCTGGCCCAGAGAGCCCCAAAGGTGATTCTAGCAGTCTTATTTGATCATAGTAATTCTTGACAGAATGTACTTTATTTAGAAAATGTATTTTTTTGCTTCCTTTTTAGGACTCCCACTGTAAGGTGGGGTTATGTGGCTATGCAGTTTGCACAGGTAAGTTTTTTTTCACTGCCTAAGGTTTGGTGATTGGTGGGAGATGGGGATTTTAATCTATTTAAAGTGTTTGTAAATTTATGACTATTGGGAGCTGTAGAACTCTTTCTGAAGTTTTGAAATTATTCTCAATACAGTGAACGGTGTTTGTTTTGCCAACATCAAAAGTAATTTTCTTCAATAAAATAATTTGTTTTATTGTAATTAATAAAGTAATTCCATTTGGTTACTTCAGTCAGCACCTACATTAATTTCCCCCTCCCCTCCTGTTTTTATATTTTTTGGATATATATGTGGGCCTGACACTCCTCACTACCTCCTCCTCCTGAACCCCTTATCAGAATCAAATCCCAGAAAATCCCATTTTAAATTCTTGTTTTAATCAAATACCCATTTATGAAACAAATTATTTTGTTATGGGTTCATGTAGCAGGAAAATCAGGTTCCAAGAGTCTGATCTTTTACAAATGCCCTTTGGTAAAGGGTTGGGAAAAGATAGTTAGAAACTAGGTCTGAGTAATTTCTGAAGGGTACAGTTTGCAATCTTATGCATTAGTGTTAAATGGAATATATATGTAAACATTAGAGGTTACATATGTATCTTCTTTTGAAGGAAAATCACCATCTTTCCTTAGAAGCCATCATTCTCATGACTATCTTTGCTGTGTTCCAGGTGTTTGGCTGCTTATTTTATATGTACTACGTCTTTGAAAGGCTCTGCGCCCCCTTGTTTCGGAATATCAAGCAGGAGCCCTTCAGTGCTCGTGTTCTGGTCCTATGTGTATTCAACTCCATCTTGCCAGGTAACATGGGGACTGGTTAATTTGGCCACTTATAGAGTTGCAAGGAAAATAGAAAGCTATTGCACCTTTGATTTACCTGCTTTTCACTTATAAATTCATCTGCATATCTATACCTGTCTTTTTTAAATTTCTTTATTGATTAAGGTATTACATATGTGTCCTTATCCCTCCATTGCTCCCCCCACCCCCACTCAGGCCCTTATCCCCCTGTTGTCTGTGCCCATTGGTTAGGCTTTCTATACCTATCTTGACCTCTTTCCATCTGTCTCATAAATGAAGTATATTTCAGTCTCAGCCGAATTTTTCCATTGGTCTTCTGGCTTTTACTCAAGGTTTGCTTTCTCTGACTGGATAATTCATATTTATGCTTCATTTCCCCATAATCTTGCTCCTAATCCAAGCAGGGCACTGAAATAGACTTTATTAAAATCACTAGTTATTTCCTGATTCTAAATCCAGTGGATGCTGTAGCCCTTACTCTGATCTCCATGAAGCACTGGCTGTTGTTGACCACATTTTGAAATCTCCCTACCACTCTTTCTTATTCTCCTGTCTTTCTAGCCATACTTCAGACTCCTAACTTGCTTCATTCCACTTATCTTTTTCTGGAGATATATGAGTACCTACTATATCAGATGCTGACAATATAGCAGTGAACAGACATAACTCTTCACTCTCTGGAAGAGTCAAATTATATATATAGTTTTCTTTACTTCTTTCCTCTACCCATTAAATGTTGGTAACATTTTCCATGATCACCTTGTCTCTACCTTCTCTCTCTCCCAGATTTCTAATAACCCTCCCTAATTGCTCTTCAAGGGTTACTCCAGTAAACTCTCATCTGTTCCTCTAATAGGATATGTGTTACATACTTGTGTGTCTTGTTCACTGGGCTACAAATTCCTTGAGATCAAAGATCGTATCTTATAGCCACTCAGCCAGTCACAGTCTCTCCCATATTGTTTAATCCATAGCAGATGCTCTATAAATATTTTTGAATAAATGAGTGAAAGGGTGAGCATGTATTTTACATTATAGTAACAATATATACTACATAAGGAGAATGAACAAAGTGTTGATGAGCTTTGTATCATGCTGGAGATGACATTTACCATTGGGTGTTGGAAATAGATAGGCGTTTGCCTGGCAGAGAAGTGGTGGAAAGGTGCTTTAGGCGGTGAGATGGGTGCACAGGCATAGACTTACTTTAGAATGGCCGAAGTCCAGGTAGGGATGATGTGTGGGACACTGGGAGTGGAGTCGGAGATAAGTTAACCTTATCACTATTGACATTCAAGGCTGGATAATTATTTGTTTTGGGTGGCTGTCTTATGTGTTGTAGGATATTTAGCACCATTCTGGCCTCTAACAACTAGATACCAATAGTACCCCCCCCCCCACCACCAGTCCTTGAGTTGTGACAACCAAAAATGTCTTCATAATTGTCACATGTTCCTGGTGGGTGGTGGTTGGGGGGGACTTCTCCCCCAGTTTTAAACAACTGGTTTATGGGAATGCACGAGGGCCAGATTTTAAAGGGCTTTGGGTATCAAGACTTTTCTATTATAAACAGGCTGGAATGAGTAAGCTGGAATAATCATTTTTATTTTACAAAATAATTCTAGCTAAGCAGGTGCTGACAAAATAAACTGCTTGGTATATGAGCTGTTTGAAAACACTCAATATTATTAATTTTATTTTCAGGTGTGCTGGGGCTGTTACTTACTTTTTTTGCCTTTTTGCACTGTTGGCTCAATGCCTTTGCCGAGATGTTACGCTTTGGTGACAGAATGTTTTATAAGGTAATATACACACGGACTCATTTTTCTTTTCACAATTTATTATGTCCTCATTGCTAGCTTTTTAACATGAACATTATATTGTCAGATAATGCTTTCCCACAAGTTTTACCAATATTAAGTCTGAAATTCTGGTATCAGTGTAATTAGTAAAGCTTTATCTTCTACCTCTGATATCCTCCCTTTCCCATAACATATGGCTTCTGCTGGATCCTGTGTTGGTGATTACAGAAGGAAAGCATGTGTCTAGAGGGTGGTATGAGACTTTGCTGACTGTTCATTCATTTGAAATTGGTTGTCTGGTGCTGTAGGAGTAATTTCAGTAAATTATTCCATTTAAAGTTGCTGAAGGAAGGAAATGACTTTTTCCTCTTTTATTTATGAAAGGCATTAATTCTGCTTAAAATAGTATTCTATACTTGCAAAGTTGGAATTAAGTTCTAAACTCAGGATCTGGAGTTTAGTTTGTGGTTTTGGTAACACTCCAAGCCTACCACTTCTTTCTCAAAGAAATAGTGAATGTAGGTTGTGAATTTTAGGTGTCTGATCTTAAAGTAGGGAGCAAGATATATGTAAAGGAGTGCCAGGTTTTGGAGGTAGCCACCTCTCACTCCTTATTCAACATAAGTTTTTCTGTTTGATACCAGCAAGCAGCTCTTCACCTTTAGCATGCTACGTAACCCTGTGTGACCTTAGAATTCTCTCACTGTGTTTTAGCAAGGCAATGGGGATTCACTGATTGCTATTTAGAGGAACGCTAGATTGAAGATTGTTTATGTTCTGTGTCTTCCACCATAACTTGTTTCATAATGAGAGAAAATGAACCTAGGGAATGAATCATATAGAACTAGAATTAATGTCTTATTAAACATCAGTAACCAAAATGCCTTTTAAGATTTTTCTGACATCAGTGTATGGACTGACAATTTATCATCACACACTGGATATTATGTGTGTATGTTCTTTGGAAATATTCAGGGGTTTTTGCTTTGGCTCTGTGTGTATATACATGTAGGTGTGTGTGGTATGTGTGTAGTTTTATAGCTTTGGTTTTTTTCCTCAGGATTGGTGGAATTCCACATCCTACTCCAACTATTACAGGACCTGGAATGTGGTGGTCCATGACTGGCTGTATTACTATGCTTACAAGGACTTTCTCTGGGTAAGCAGCAGGATTTAGTTGATGTTGTTCAAGAAATGGAGATTCTTTTCCAGAAAGTATTAATATTGTACAGCTGGAGGAAGTTATACTTAGTTGTCTTTAATTCTCTTATGAGCCATTTATGTCTAAGAAATCTTCTGCCTGAATAATACTGCTGAGAGACCAGTAAGGACAGTTACTGGGTCTAATACCATGTTTTCATTCTGGATTTTACTTTATATAATTACCAAGTAAGAATGCAGGCAAACATTCAGATAAGTTGAAATGATCCACCATTTATGGATCATTTCTTATGGATCTCACTGATAACAGATAATCTCCCTCTAACTTTTTCTTCATTTACTTTCTTTTTTTAAAATCTGTTCAAAGTGGAGAACCACCCTATGTATGGACTTAACATCTCTCCAATTGGTCATGTAGGTCTTTGAGACATTCTTCAGAGCAGAGTGTATTTAGACTGATGAAATGAAATCTTGAATCTCATGGTTGATTAATGCTGGTGTCTCTGGATTATTGGCTAAGTGATAGCATGTTGTAGATCAGATAGCATTGTATTCGAATGTTCTTTCCTGAATATGTGTAGTTTCACTTATGGACAAGGCAAGTCTCTTCTTTCTAAGTCTTAGTTCTGTTACCTGTAAAAATGGAGAGGATGCCTGCCCTGTCTACCATACTGTGCTATTCTAAAGGTTGAGATCTGATGTGTTCATTAATATATAAAAACTATGTTTTGTCCATCAGAGTGACTTACCAGTATAAGTTATTAATGTTTTTAAAAATATGCCCGCTCTCCCTTTCAACATGATTAGTTTTGAAAATGCCTTCTTTGAAAATAAGGATTTTTAAGCATAGGTGTTTTTTCTAATTATATTATAATACATTTGGGTTAATCCAAAGAGTAGATTGGAAAGTCCAATATAAATATAATTAAATTGGTGCCTTTAACATGTGATAATTATAAGTCTTATGTAGTTTGTGCTTAGTTACCTTTTAAAAACTGCTTTCTAATATTTTCCTTTTACCCTAGTTTTTCACTAAGAGATTCAAGTCTGCTGCCATGTTAGCCGTCTTTGCTGTGTCTGCTGTCGTGCATGAATACGCCTTAGCTGTTTGCTTGAGCTTTTTCTACCCAGTGCTCTTCGTGCTTTTCATGTTCTTTGGAAGTAAGTACCTTGGCATGCCATGAGGACTGAGGCTGATGCCAAAAGAGAAATTTAGAAAATAAAGTATGAAATCAATGTAGGAAGCTAGATAGTGAGCAGTAATATCATCTCAAGGCAGTGTTTGCTTATCAGAGGGAAAAGAACATTGATTTTGAGTAATTATACACAACTCTGTTTCAAGATGTTTATATACTTTGAAGTAGAGAAATGAGCCACATAACCTCTTGCAGACTGTTGGTAACACTGATTTGGTAGGTCACAAAAACAATAAAAAACAACTTCGCCATTCTTCAACTCTATCATTGTTCACCCGCTGAAAAAAACTGACCCTTTTTTGGGTGGGGGGAAGGGATAAGCTAGAATATGAATGATTCCATGAAATATATTTTCACCTGTTCTGAATACTGTCCGATTTTTAATTAATCACTGGTTAATAAACTTCAACACGGAAGCTTCATTTTTATTTATAGGAGCAGTAGCCAGAATAAACCATGTCCGCACAGTTGGTGCTCATTGTGATACTTGGATGATTTTAGCAGCTATCTGAGGCTGCTTATAGATTGTCTTGATATATATTTTTTGTTCTCTTCCTGACTTTAGTGGCTTTCAACTTCATTGTCAATGACAGCCGGAAAAGGCCGATTTGGAACGTCATGATGTGGACTTCACTTTTTGCGGGCCAGGGAGTCCTCCTGTGCTTTTATTCCCAAGAGTGGTATGCACGTCAGCACTGTCCTCTGAAAAATGTGAGTCAGCACTCAGGCTGCAGTGGAGAAGTGACATGTTTGTCCCCGATTGTGAGGGTTGGAGAGCAATTTTAAGGGGAAGGACATTAGTGGAGATTGTGATGAATTAATGTTAAGCGGAGAGAAACATTATCTGATCTTATTGCTACTGTTCTTAAAATTTTTTCTTTTGCTTTTCTTCACTTTGAACTCTCCTACTTGGTGCTCCCCCCTCCTTTTTTTAAATTTCCTACTCTTTTACTGCTTTTTCTTTAGCTCCTTGTAATTTTCTTCCTGTGTCTTAAAAATGTAGGACATGTGTATCCTATCCTCCACACACATATATATGTATATTTTACCTCTTCCTTTCCTTTCCAAAGTATTACGTCTTTGTAAAAATGTCCAGCTACACTCATATGCCTAGGATCCCGTTTCCCTTGATTTTCATGATTACATAAGAGCTTCAGCTTTAAGCTGCATGTGGATGACTCCCAAATAATTAGGGGGTGTCTTCTTTATATACCCCGGTATTTCTCACAGGCACCTGTAACTGAAGATGCCCACAATCAAATTAATCAGTTTCTCTGCCAAAGCTTCTACTGTCTACACTGTGTCTGTTATGCTGCCCTAATGCTCCTTCCTTATTTCCTATTAATCCTCTGTGTGCATTTGAACTAACTGCTCTGGACTACTAAAAATAGGGGTGTGCTCAAATAAAATGCACGATACCTAAAGAGGTGTAGGACCTATTTGACATTTGGTCAGAAGGGCAATTGTGTAGGGTTTACTGGACTTTAAAAGCTTCATGTAAAGCCTCTAAACCAAGTAAATCCATGCTGTAGATAAAAATATTGAACATCTTTTGAATTATTGAACTGTTTTTAACTGAAAGGTTGCTGAAATGCTGAGAGGCATTTTAGAGGTATGCAGTATATGACACTAACATCCCTATCTCTCCCCACACCTCATGCACATAGTGCACACAAGTAAGCTACATTTATTTTCCTCTTTTTTCTCAAAGCCCACATTTCTGGATTACATCCGACCACGTTCCTGGACTTGCCGCTACGTGTTTTAGAAGCTTGGACTTGGTTTCCTTCCTTGACACTGAAGACTGGGTATTCTGCCTGACTTGGGGCCGGCATCTATTTCCAGCTGTTACTGATGAAGTTATCCCTGTTGTTTGGACCACTCCAGGCTTGACAGATGACTCACTCCATCCCTAGGTCATCTGGAGCTGAGCTGTTGGAAGTTTACTGGACTTAATGTATACTTAAGCAGTGCTTTTTTGTATTACTTTGCGGAGAAGGAAGACTTAATAGCTAACGTAATGACAGATGTTTGCTGGGTCATATTGGCTTAAGCCTCAGAAATTAAATGTTTTCTTTCTCGACTATCTAATTAGAGGCTAAACATCATGTTTCCTTGGCCATTGAATTAGCCAAACCACTTATGAAGAAATCATTTAAATACCTCTGGCTTAGAAATTTTTTCATGCACACTGGTGGAATGTATGCTAATTAACCATGCAATTGGGAAAGAAAAGTTTTGCTATTTCTAGTAGAGAGAAAATATCTACTTTCCAAAGATAACCTTATTATAAATCCTAATTTGTGGATGGTTGTTCTTCTCAGCCTGTATTTTTTTGAAAAAAGCTTGGTTCTACCCAAGTTTTATCTTGTTTTACTATACAGTGTAGGTCATGGTTTCTATGAAGCAAAATTACATCTTTCACCTTGAATTCTTGAGGTTTCATTCATAATATTATATATGAGAAGAACAGAAATAGGATGGGAAAGAAAAAGAAGGCACGGGACAAAGAAAAATATTTCCTCATAACTTTCAAAGAAATTTTTTTTAAAAACTTGCGGAATCAATCATATGTTTAAATTATTTTATCATGTAACTTGTATGGAAAATAATTTTTAAAAACTTTAAGGTCATAACTTCTTTTAAGTTATTTAGAAGTATCCTTTGGTACAGTTATTTTATTGTCTAATAACTACTGACTTGAATTAATTTGCAGACTAGTAAGTCTGTAACAGAAGTATTAATCGCCTCCAATAATATTAAAGTGATTCTTAAAGATCCAGAAGCTGGCTTCTGTATTTGCTCAATTATACTTTTAGTGGTATTATACTTTAGGTGAAACAAATTATGTGCTCATTTTCAGGAAAATGTACTCTTTTATGTGATGTTCCCATGTTATAAGATGCCCATTGGTCATACGGTGTGGTGTGGAGGACTTATTTTGTTTGTATGTATGAGGTGTGACTATGTTTGTAAAGATTGAGCATTGGAGAGAGTATCTGAGGCCATGCATGTAGTTCAACTTTCCACCCAAAGAAGTAAGACTTACGAATTATTCAGAAAATTACTGTTATTTGAGGCAGACAACTTGAGAGGCCCTCTTGGAATTCTAACAGGCCTACTGTTATCCAAAAGGTTTGGGGAAGTCTTTTCCAAATTGTTTTAAAGACAGTGTGAGTCTCATAAGAAGGTAGAAGGAGTTTCTTAATAGTCACAACTTAATCTGTAGCACAAGTACTCAATTTAATCACCTATTTTATTCCCCATACCTTTGATTCAGGTGAATTTAGGCAGTTTTTAAACATCACATCCAATTTCAACAGACAAAAGTGCACCTCAAGGTTATCTTCCACAGTAATTATCTGCACAGTGGTAGTGTGATTGTAATGGAACCATAACCTCCAAACAGGACTGCTTTAATATACCTTCTAATTGCTGGTGTTTTTATTAAGAATTAAAATTAGTCACCCACTTGTTGACTAAACTTTTAACTGCATTTTAAATATTAGGGAGCTGATAAAACAAGATTGATGTAAGACTTGGTTATGAATAAGCCAATCTATTAAAGTGAGAGAATGGAATTCTTAGGTCTGTATTTCTGTTAAGTACTGTAAACATATACTCTCATTGAGAGGACTTTTCTAAATAGTGTATTTGTTGGATTTATCAAGGCTACTTAAAAAAAAAAAAACCCAAAATAAAACCCCCAGCCCTAGCTGGTTTGGCTCAGTGGATAGAGAGAGCGTTGGCCTTTGACTGAAGGGTCCCAGATTTGATTCCGGTCAAGGGCACATGCTTGAGTTGGTGGGCTCGATCCCCAGTAGGGGCATGCACGATGCAGCTGATCAATGATTCTCTCTCATCATTGATGTTTCTATCTTTCCCTTCCTCTCTGAAAACAATAAAAATACATTTTAAAAGTTAACTCTATCAGTTAAAAAAAAATACAAAAAACCTATCATCTTCCCTTTGTTTATTAGTGATTTTTTTCCTGCCCTAGATTTTTATGTGACAACAAATAATTTGTGTATAATTGGAGACACTTTAGAATGATAAGACTTTCCTAAGAAATTTTCAGAAACACTCAAAAGGAATAGCAACTTTCTGTGAAAGAAACTTAGTTTGGTAGCCATGGTCTTATCACTAGCTGCTTTTAGCAAAAGCCTTTAAACAAAACAAAAACTTCTTAGTAATATGTTTCAGGAAGATTGATTCTTTTTCCCCTCTTGCTAAAATTATTTTCAGTTCCTGGATGATACTTTTTTCCTTTGAATGTAATAAAATTAAAATTTCTTTCCTGTAAGAGATATTAATGGATAGTAACTATTATTTTGAGTTTGGTATCCAAGAGAACAACTAAGAGCTCTAACTTTGCCATAAATTTGTTAGGTGCTTTTATATTCTCAATCCTGGGTAATGAAGGAAAATGGAGGTTTTTTGCTTGTTGGTGGACTAATGTACTGTAGTTGCCTCACATTAGAATTTAATTAGAAAATTGATACTACAACATTTGGGAGCAAAAGGAGTGGGAAATGTTTTTGTGGGTTTTTTTTTTCCTTTTTAATCATTGCAAGGTAAAAGTGAATGACATTGACAGGTTAAAGTACAGAGTGTAAATGTTCTATATTTGCAAACAGATTATGCTGTAGAAGTAATTCATTTAGTATGGGCAGTTTTCATCTATCAAAATTATACTTACCTGGAAAATTGGATGCTGAAGTCAGAGAAAACATATTAGAACATTGTGTGCTTAAAAGCTGGTCATGTGGGTTGTGTAGCCTGAAAAGATATAATTTATGAATTGTTGAAGTCTTTTATGCAAAAAAGATAATCTTTGTTTTGTGTGATCATAAGTAATTTTGTGTACAGTTCTTTGTTTTGTATGGGGGAAAATAATGAAGGTAAACTCATATAACTGTAGGGAACAGGTGGCCTGGACCAGTTAAAGAATAAATTGTTACACTTTAGCCCAGAATGTAAAACAGATAAAATATCGCTGCTTCTGGTTGAGATAGAGATGGGGGTGCTGGAGCCCTTCGTGTTTGAACACCCATTTTCTCCTACCCCCAAGTTTGAAAACCAGTAGTGCAGGGAGAAAAGAGCATTCCATGGATATCCAAATCCGAGGATGCTCAGGTACCTTATGTGAAATGGCATATTTACGTATAACCTACATATCCTCCTGTACAGTTTAATCTCTATGTTACCTGTAATCCATAATATGATGTAAATGGCATGTGAATGGTTATACTGTATTGTTTCGGGAATAATGACAAGGAAAAAAGTCTGTACATGTTAAGGAGATGCAAGCATCATAGGCTTAATTAACTACGTAGTACACATCAGCAACAATCTAAATTTTTTTCAAATATTTCCCATCCACAGTTAGTTAACTCTGCAGGTGCAGGATGTGTGGATATGGAGGGCCCACTGTATGGTAGTTACAGCCAAAAAAATACTCTCTAGTTACCCTCCATGGTGTGGCTTTACTCACCTGTCTCTGTAGACGAGTGGGAAGGGGAAAACTCTTCAGAAATCAGACATGCCCCCTCCTTGATGAATTTATTAAAGTTTAGCTTCCTGTCCTTTTAGGCTCAGCTTGCATGTGGACCCAAATTAGTTGGTCCATGTATCTGACTAATAAAGAAGAATACCAGTTTGTAAACATACCATGAGAAATCATTTCATACCTGGAGTGATATACTCAGGTTGGCATCGTCACTGAATCTATTCTCTGTAGAAACACAACTTACTGTATGATGAGAAAGATGAATGTATTTAAAACTGAATCACCACCATGTGCCAGGTACTGTGCTATGCACTGACACTTATGAATAAGACAGAAAGCATATTACTGCCCTGGCTGGGTAGCTCGGTTAGTTCTAGCATTGTCTGATATGCCAAGGTTTCGGGTTTGATTCCTGATCAGGGCACATAAAAGAATTGGCCAATTAGTGCATAAATAAGTGGAACAACAAAAATCAATGTTTGTCTGTCTCTCTCCCCCTTTCTCTAAAATCAGTGCATTTTAAAAAGCATTTCACATCCTGTAGGCACACTCATGTGGAATCAGGAGGAGGGTACTTAGATGAAATCTGACTTGAAACTAAGACAATTGGTTTAATTTTAGTGGAGTCCTATTGTGGAAACAATAGTAGAGGCTATCCTGCCCCAAGAGAAGAGTTTGGCTGAGCAGTGCCTAGCTTTCTCAGTGTCTCTTCTTTATCATTTCTGGTTAATGCCTTCATTTTTTAGTTACATTAAACAATTCTGGCCTACTTCACAGTCAGACTCCTTCAGGGAACTTTGCATGCTGCGTTTAAGTGCCCACAGATGTGTGTGTAAAGCCTGCCCACACACTGGGAACATGAGTTCGTAAAAAGGACATCGTTGCAAAAGCGCACCTAGTGTTCCTTGTACTTTTCCCAGTTCAGGGCATATTTGATGACCACACCGACTCGCTCTCTTCTGAGGAAATGCTGTGTTCACCTGAAGCCCCAGAGGACTGCTCCTGAGTTGATGTTAAGCAGCCAACAGAAGTCAGCCAACACCAGCAAGCAATATTGGCCCCATCTACAACTCTGACTGTCACTTCTATGTCTTAATGTTTCTATTTAGGAAAACTATTACCTGCTCATCTTGCATTTTTATCTTACTCCATTTTAGGGTTCTCTTGGTATAATTCAAAATTAGGAGAGGATCTTTCACAAAAGTAGCAGTTGTATTCTGAATGGTGTTAGTGTAATGCTCTTATCTTCTTATCTACTGTACTTACTACTTTACATACTTCGACTTTAACCCAGACCTTTGCTCAGGAAACAGCATGTATAATCACACCATTGCAAGGATAGAAAGTGAGAAGTAACTTTTTTTTAACACTTAAGGAACCATATTCTTTTAAAATATATCTTTTTCATTGATTTCAGAGAGGAAGGCAGAGAGATGAAAACACCAATGATTAGAGAGAATCATTGATTGGCTGCCTCTTGCACGCCCCCTACTGGGGGTGGGGGAGTTCAGCCTGTGCTCTTGGCTAGAATCGAACCTGGGACCCTGTAGTCCCCTGGCCAATGCTCTATCCATGAGCCAAACCGGCTAGGGTGAGAAGTAACCTTTGATGTCTTTTACTTCCCACCACAGTTCCAATCACTTCCCAAATCCTATAGACTTTTCTGTGTATCTCTTGAATCTGTTCACTTATCTCTATTTCGTCTATCAATGTCCTGCTTAGATTTTTTAAAACTAGGTTAAGATTATGCAAGGTGGTACTTTGTTCTTCCAGTACCTAAATGCTTGATAAACCATGTTTAAGCTGATGTTGGAGTTTTGGGACCTTTGAATTCATTATGTTGGTATGGTTCCTCATTATAACGCAGAGTCACAACACCAGTGTGGGGCGAGGAAGGCAAATACACTTTGGGAGAAAATTACCTTCCACCTGCTTGTGCATTGCATCACCGGTTTTGAAGGTTGCCAGTCCTTAATGGTGAACTATATGTGTGCTATGTGAATGCTATATGTGCATTTTAATTCTTGGAAAATCTAGAAAAAAATTAGAGTGATGGAAGACAGGGCTAAATAAAGGCTAAAAGTGTTTGATTAGGAGAATGAAAAGGGGGTCTTCGAGATTGCTTTTATTTTCAACATTTTGCTTATATTTCTCATTACTATTACCCCGGAAACCAGAAATTTGTCTATCAATACAAAAGCAATAGAACTGTCTCGTTGATTTTCAAACGTCACGTATTGGCACTGTGCTTGGCACCAAGGAATATGACGATTGAA